TTTTCTTATTTTGACTAATGATGTTAATAATTGTTAGCGAAACATTTCAAAATTAAAAAATAAAATATATCATTCAGTAATAGTTTCTTCACTTTTTATTATCAAATGTATTTACCGAGCAACAAAAAAAATACTGATTCTATGTAAAAATTGAATATCTCCACTATATTTTGATCGAATGAGCTGATTCTTTTACCGCTGATAAATAAGTGTTCATAGGTCATATTCATAAGAGAAATATATTGCCAAATACCACTTTGAAGCATCATCGTTTACTTCAATAAAGAACTAATAACCTTTCACACGTTATGCAAAAATCATCCTGCAGTTTTCTCTACTAATTCTTAGTATATACGGCTGCATCTTTCGAGATACAATTAGTAACAAGACATGCATCTATAGTACAAATATAAGATCAAATGACAATTTGTGAATACCCAATAGAGAAAATTAAATATAGTTTACTTTTTGTCATAGAAAAAGTTTTAAAGCTTTTTCGTAACTCATGAAAGACTATAGTGCTTTATTGAAGTCAACGATAGTACTTTAGAGCAGTGTTTTTCAATGTTTCTTTTACGAATATGACCTATGAATACTTATTTATCGGCGATAAAAGAATCAGCTCATTTGGTCAAAATATGGCAGAGATATCCAATTTTTTCTTCGGTAAACTGACTTTTGAACCATTCTGTATTTAATTTAAATAAAATAATAAAAACTGATCAGACTTTACATTGACTTTAAATTTGTGACGTTTTGACAAATGATGTCATGTTCATCAGACGGATAGAAATGTTAACTTTGTTTTGATTTTTCTTTTTTGTTTTCTTTTCTTTCAGATGTTTAACATATAATAGTGGAACGGCAAGATGGTGATACAAAAGATGTCTCAAAAGTTTTGACTCCTCTCTGTAAATTGACATTATCTAAATCACATATATCTATCAGTAGTTGATTGCAATATACAGCTTGGTAGAAAATGAGAAGAGCTATCATCTAAAAAAAAATGGTTCAAATTATGTCATAGTTATGAAAAGTTATGATGATTTTATTCATAATGAATAAGCGTTTTACATCTTACATTTTTTGCAAAAACGAAATATGCTTGGAATATCGGAAGTGAAATATCGTTTTCTATGCATTTTTATATGATTCGATAGAGTTCGACGAGCTCTACAACAATATGCATATCAAAAAAAAATTCTGATGCTGTTTCCAATACAAAACTTGAAGGAAATCTAAAAGATTAATAAAAATCTCACATATCTTGCATTAGAGAGAGTATGCTAGACTTTCAATAACTTTAGCTGATCGACTGTTCCGTCTGTTCATAAAGCTCGGAAAGGTCGTTTTCAGTTTCACTACATGATTCTGCATCTCGAAACATAAATTAACAGTCGATCAGCTAAAATTATTGAAAGTCAAGCATACTCTCTAATGCCAGATATGTGAGATTGTTATTAATCTTTGTGGTTTCCTTCATGTTTTGTATTGGAAAGAGGGTTAGAATTTTTTTAACTATTCATATTCTTGTAGAGCTCGTCGAATTCTTTCGAATCATATAAAAATTTCTAGTAAAAACATGTAGAAAATGATGTCTCAATCGACTTTAATGACTCAAACATTGAAAAACTTTTTTATTTCTGCAAAAAATGTAATATGTAAAATACTTAGTTATTATGAATAAAATCATCATAACTTTTCATAACTATGACACAATTTGAACCATTGTTTTTCAGATGATAGCTCTTCTCATTCTCTACAAAAGTGTATGTTGCAATCAACTACCTATAAATATATTTGATAGAGATAACATCAATTTACAGAAGGTGGGCGAAACTTTTGGGACATCCTTTAGATAAGGAATGAGAAAGAAAAAAAATGTGATCATGCAGAACGTTTCTTTCCATGTACATGGGGTATTGATAATATCAAATAACAAAAGGATATTGAACAATTTTTAATTTTAAACTTCATTTGATATATTCTGAACGCTATTCTTCTTCGCTTTATGAAAAGAAGTACTGTACACTAGTCTATGAGGACAGACAAGATTCAAGTATGCTTCATTTTGAACAAGTGGTTTTCAAGGCTGAAAAAAAACAATATTTGAAAACTATAGTACTGTGCACCTCAAAAGTTTTTCTTCCCTTTTGTATTTTTTAGTTTTTATCACTAGATCTTTTTAATTTATTAACTTCCTATATATAGAAACAAAGCCCAGAACGTGCTGCATCTTATGGTATGTTTACATTGAACAATAAATACAGTTTGAAGTATAAAAGGTGTATTAAAAGAAGACGTGACAGTTTTTTTATTGTACAAATTGATCAAAATCTTAAAATGTATGAAGAGTAACTAGTTTTTAGGATAATTTTTGATTGAAACGAGATAGAGATCTGCGGTTTTCACC